ATCTATTTGTCATTGGAGAATTAACAGTTAACAGAAAGAATCTACAAAAGTTTTGTAAGCAAGCACAAACTGTAGAGCAGTGATGAGTTGCCTGCTACATTGAAACGCGTAGGCTGACGCGTCTCCATCGTGTGGGCACTTTGCACTGACTCACAGGAGAGAAGGGACAACGACTACGACCACGGAAACAATCACATTTTCCAATTCCGCTTATCTTTGACATTCCCTGCAAAGCGCAAACAAGGGTGTGATGGTGCTGTTGAATGGCACATGGGAGTGGCTCAACACTCCAATGTGTAGTTGCGATGATGGACATTGACGCTCGCCTCTTGATTTAAAGTGGAGGGTATAGCACCGCAGTACTTCAAGTGTGGCTTTTGCGAGTTCAATCCCAGGAGTTAGTATATTACATCGCTGATTGCATATTGCCACTGCAACTGGTAGCCGTCATTGGTAGACCTCATGGCTTCGGGAACAACGTTTTTATTGTGCAAGGACCTAGAAGTTCCTACAATATTGTGCTCAACGTATTCCCTCCTTGAACGTGTATGGCTGCAAGTTGTGATGCCTACGCCCACTACCCTGTGGATTCGAAATGTGCCTACCAAACTCCACTAGAACGACATAGAATAAGTCAATGCTCCTGTGAAGGAGGTAACTAGTTTTCGAGTTAATCCCCACTTTTCTTGCATAAGTAATAGGTAGTAAGCAAGATATCACCACGCCAACGTACCTAACGACATGGTTCGAATGGGAGTTGATAACTCCGAACGCCTTTCACACTGCGTCGCATCCTGTCCAATTGCTGGAATCGTGCTGGTCATCACACTGCACTGATAAAATGTGTTTGGTATCAGGTTTCCGACTACAACGGAGGTTGTCTCACTGTCATTAGTGGTTATCCTTGATGGAGCGCTGCAGTGTGTAACATCCAAGCAGGTGACAAGGTAGGGTTTGAGGATGCCATTGGAGTGCTTGGGCTTTGACCACGTTAGCTCAATTTCTGTTGATGATATAGCCTTGCCTTTTGGACGAGGGATACGAGAGGGAGCTTGAGACGGTCGATAAAAGGTTGGCAATTAGGAAGCAATATGGATGTAGTGTGGAGTTGCATAATGGTAACAGTTAGCATCAGCAGGCACTGTGGTTGTCGTCAAACACTTCAGCATTGATATGGGTCAGTAAAGGCCGTTTGTTGATGGTGAGTACCAAGCGATCTCTTGCGCGCCGAGAGTGGAATAGAGTCGTAGCACATCTGCTGTTCCGGTTTGTTCTAGGCTGAGTTGAGCTTGACTGCTAATGTCCACCTTATGGAATGCTTCCAAAGCTCAGGCTAATGCAATTTTATTACCGAGGTGAGGGAATTCACTGTGATCGCCTCCCAAATGCAACTATCAACTAACTCTATTCGCTTAAAGTCGAGTCATCAACCTGATTAGCACCTTCAGAATGCGAAGTTTGCTCAATATTGGCAAAAAACACAATGAATAGATTGTGTAGGAGTTGAATCTATAAAATTAGCAAATGAGGTGAAAATTATGGCCTTATTGAGTATTCTAAAACAACTGACCCAAAGCCATTGTGCGAATGGGATTCGATAACTCAGATCTTCTTTCACAGTATCTCGAGATCTGGCCTACTCCTGGCACCGTGCTGGCAAGCACATAGCACCGATATTCCGTGCCGGGATGAAGATTTTCGATAGACACTGATAAGGTTTCGTTGTTTTTAGTTGTCACGCTGACTGGTGACCAGGAATTGGAGACATCGAAACATGTTAAAACGTAGGGTTTGAGGATTCCATTGGGTCTAGTGGGCGCCAACCACTGAAGTTCAATTTCCTCCGTCGATATAGCCCTTCCAGTAGGCGGTAGCACACCAGCAGGAGCTGTGGGTAATAAAACAGTATGGACAGTGAATTTAGAATGTGTCAGCTTACAGCTTGATGAGGTTTTTTGCTCCAAAGGCACTATCTTAAGCCTGATGTCAAGTGCTAAACCTTGTGCTAGGAGTGAGACGAAACTTCATCCATATCCATGCTGCTGAACACGGTTACCTTATCCATGCATTTGTACGACCAGACTAAGAAATGTAGTAAACATAAAACGGCTGGAACTTACCAGTAGGCAATGTTCTTATAAAACTTCCCAAATCGAAAAGCACTCGCCCATCTCGATAGCCTTGCACAGTCACTCTGTAGTATGTGTATGGTTCAAATCCGTAAAGAGTAATTCGTCCGCTCTCCATATTAGCGCTCTCTTCCTTCTTTTCAACCGGGGAATCCACAAGTTCGGCGACCATTCGAACCCACTCAACTTTTTGGTAGGCAAATTGTGCCGTATCCCACCGCAGCATAAGTCCATTGTGGCCCACGTAAACCCAACGAAGATTTGGGATGAAATAGCCTGTACCTGAAAGTGATGCACGTTACGAGCATTTTGCATTAAAAAGTCAATTAAGTGAAGTTTATTAGAACCACTTCGTACTTGTTCCATCTAAGGCAGTGGACTGTGGGTTGCAACAATATAAGCCACACAAATCGCAATGCATTAAAAAAAGACGTCTATGAGTTGCGTGCTGCAAGAAATACAACTTCCTAGCAGTCAAGTCAGTTTGGTTTAGAAATGCAACTTTACAGTCCCCTTTTATTAGAAGACTGTTTAAAGCTATTGATATTTACAAAAACACGCGTTTATGCGGGCGCGTTCTTTACCATTCCATAATATTATTTTATGGAAATTTTCAGCGACTCAGCAAAAAAATTGGGGAGGAGTAGTCCAGAGATTTGAATAATCTACTCGGCACTCCAAGTTTGGCGTGATCGCTCCATAGTGGGATACAAAAGGAGGAACTGATGCTGTCACCAGTTTTGCTACTTGCAAACACTTCTCCAACGAATAGTGTTAGGATGCAGCACGTTTTGTCTTATTCAGTAGTTGAGGTAGAGTTTAAGTGATTATTCTTGGCCTATGAGCAGAGGAAGAGACAAATGAAGGGAAATCGTGGAGGAAACAGCCACTGCAATATACAAAACGCAAAATGGCAAATAGTGTTTTAAGCGGAGTAATAAAGGGCAACTCACCATTCTCTGGCAAAGCGAAGGCAGTGAACAAAATAAGCCAGAGGTGGAGCACCATCTTTAAAGTAAGACTGTCCTTCTTTGTAAAATTCACGACACTTTTATCGTAATCATTTGCACGCATATCAGCCTATGAGATGGTCTGACCTTGACTCTGACATACTACTACTGCTACTATTATTGGTGCTACCACTCCACTCCTCTGTGGTGTGTAGTGCTTCGTGTATGGGATTGCTCTAAACATGAGGTGCACAGACACGCGACTAGAGGCAGCATTCATCTTAGACTGACGCGATGCAATCTCCCATTGACTTTAAAACTAAGCTAGTGCTGGCTGTGGCAAATCCTCCTTCAAACCCTTATTATCCTATCAGCTTTCCTCTGCTGCGGATTCGCATATGATAAGTACTACTGAGCCTGGGATATGCTAGTATTTGTAACTCCATTTACACGTCTGGCCCACCCTTAAATAGAGGCGTCCAATACAAGGCTTTCGATGTTGACAAGAGTGACAAATGAAGAAAGCGATAGCGATGTTTCACACTTCAGTTTACTCTTCGCGATTATGCGTTGTTGATATTTGGTGAAGGACTTGAGAGGAATTGTCTTTAGGGAATTCCTCACGGGCAAATCAAATAAGTGTTAATTTCCCGAATGGTGCATGCAAGGCTGAGTCCAGCCTGATCACGTTCAGTTATACGCGCTCATTTTTAAGCGTCTGTTTGGATGCTGAAGGGAAGTAAGGAAGGAATTGGAAAGCTATTGGAGTAGGTCTGCCTAAATTGGTTGCGAGGAATGCCAAACAGTTCAAATAACCAAATATGCAAGGCGTCGGATAGAAGCGTACACTTTTCACTTTTAAACCGCGAACAGAAGAGGAGGCAAGCTTAAAGTGGTGTCATTACCGTTATTAACATTGTCATCTTGCGTAGTCTAATAAAGGGGCAGATTTGTATTTTATCAGTTTTACAAAACCACACGGCGCTGTCACAATGGACTAACTCTACCTTAAAATGCAAACTCGCAAAATTGGTTTAATGTGTTATTGGTACACTTGAGTACTCATAAGATTAACGAAGAGATACTCATTTGC